CGCCAGCTCAGTCCTTTTCTGGGTTTAGCTTGTGTGAACACAAGTGCGGGCGCAAAGAGAGCAAAGCTCTGGTTTCTTTCGCCCTACCCTGCGGCAGAACTACACCCTTTGTGGTGCTCTATAGAGCACTGTGTTTACTTCATCTGCCCTGAAACCTTTCCTCCTCGTTGCAGACCAGCTGTGCAACTCAAGCAAGGAGCATTTTAACACATAAGACTTAGGAGGAAGCCAGAAATACTTCTAAACGCAGATAGCTTCTGGTCTGTGTCCCCCTCCCAGCACTTACACCTGGGGAACTGACGCACGTGCAGCAGTCTCCCTGAAGGCTTTGCTCAACTGGATGTTCACACAGAGTAGTATCCTGCACCTTCAGAGTTACTAAAAATAAAAAAATTAGTCCTTGAGTAGGCTCAGACTTCTTGTGCAGTGAGCTAAGGCCTTTTAACCTTTCACAGGAGCCAGGAGGGCCTGAAAATAACCGGTATTTCAATTTTTGACGGCAGAGTAGGCATAAAGGAAAGGTAGGAGGAGGGACTTAAAGAGAAGTGTCAAGAGGTCTGTGCTGCAGTGTTGTGCTGCAGGTGTGAGCAGCTGGGGGAGTCTGGCTGGGGTGGATGCACAGAGCGGCTGGGGGAGAGGTGAAAGCTGTCTGCTGGGAACGAGTAGAAGTGGTATTTTATTACAGTATGTTTTGAGGCAAGCTTTGGTATTAAAATGTTCTCTGCAGAGTTTAGCTTCCCAGAGTTTCTGAAGTTCGTCACTGCTGGGGGTTTGGGGTGGTTTTTTGTCTGTTTTTTAGTTACTTGAGGGTTAGAGAGAATTTGTGTTTCTGAACTTTGGGGACAGGTCACGGTCACCCACTTCCCTTTTCAGCAAGGACCGCAAATGTTTGTTGCCAGCATAACTGTGCTCTGCCTTTATGCCTTGGTGATGAAGAATCACTGTCTTCTGCAAGCTGTGTGTAGCTCTCGGGTACTCCCTTGTAGGTGTTTCTCCCATCAGAGGAGCACATAGTAAGGGCAAATGGGATATAGCCATGTTCTAGATCTTGGAGGACTTTCTCCAAGGAATCTTACTATCTTGAATGACACAAAATATCCATATTCTATTTTCTGCTGACAGTCTTGATTTAGCAGCTTTATTCTTTATTTTTCTCTATGCACCCATGTCTCTTTATAGAGGCTGCAAATTCTGTAGGCCTTTGGGTAGGAAAGATGAACTGGAGGAAAGAATCAGCAAGCTGAGGAAAGGAAGAGTTGCTCTGAGGTTTTTTTGTGCCTGAGAGTTATGGGGGGAAATAATTACTATGTTTATTTGCTCAGCTACTAATTGAATTTAAAAAAAGACAAACTCCTTCAACCAGAGTTTAAAAATCCACAAGGGAGCAAAATTCATAATACCAGGAAAATGATTTCTGCACTGAGTTAAATTGCAATTGTGTTGCACTTGCAATTTGGGGACAAAACTACAAGATTTCATAGTAGGTGTAAAGATCTTGACTGATCCCCTGAGCAGTTTTCTAGGAATTTGCAGTGCACTCCACATTTTGTGAAATGTATATAGGCTCTAGGGCTGTAATTGTAAATCTTGTGCTGCTTAAAAGCTGAGGAGGATCTCCTGTGTTCAGAGATGGGATTAAGCCATTGCTGCCTGCCCAGTTGATTACCAAGCTGTGGTGACAACTCTTCTTTATAGGGATGTTCTCTTTCTTTTGGCTAGCTCACATTAATGAAGATAACTAGGGGGATGAGCCCTTCCTGTTAGGGGTCCCAGACATGTTTTATTTTTCCAAAGTGGTGGCAGGTTTGGTTTTGGGTCACTGGGTTGTGAAAGAGTCTGGTAGAGGAGGTGGAGCAAGCCCAGTTTTGATAAACAAGAAGACAATTTTGCAGGTTCAGGAAGACCCAACCATTATTGAGGAACTTCTTTAATTCAGATGAAAGTAAACACACTCTAGTATTGTCTGTCTGTTGGTAGGGTAAAGCTGCTGAGAGAGATTGATGAAACTGTAGATAACTGAGATTGAGTTTGGTGACTGGATCAGTGTTAAGCGCTGCAGAGGGATTGGATACACTCTAAATCTGTTTCAGGTCTTCTCTGCTGAATGAAGGCTGAAGATTGTTCAAAGGTGATCTAAATACAGTTGTGTGTTGTTTTTTTTTTCCCTGCAGGTTCTGAATGAGAAAAAGCTCCAAGAAGTTGACAGTCTGTGGAAAGAATTTGAAACTCCTGAAAAAGCAAACAAAATGTAAGCAGCTTTATGTGGGGATGGCAGTGTGGCTTTTGGAAGAACATGACTACCTGTAGTTATGCACATCTGCTTCAGAAAGAAGTATTGAGTTTGGTTTTTTCAGTATTGTAAAAGCTGTGAAAAATGATGTGAAGTTAGATATGCTGAGAAACTTAAAATGGAGTATCAAAGTGAAAGAAATACCGTTTTTCCTTGCAGTGTAATTAAGCAGCAGAAGTCATTACTATGTGTCACTGAAGCAAAATATTGAACAATATTTTAAGGCAATCTGGAAGCCTTGACAAGAACATCTGAGCTTGTAAGGCTGAAACTGTGTGAAATGACGTTTTGTGCTCAAAAAAAATGATTTTTGAAAACCAAAAGTTTAATCCAGACGAAACTATGTAAATCACTGTGAATTGAGAGTTAGTGTTGTTGCCTGTGCCATCAGTGAGTGAGTGTTGGCACCACTGCGTAGCTGCCCAGGGAGCAGTGTCCACTGATCAAACTGGCCTTCCTAGCAAATTGCCCCAAAGTGGGGGACAGTGGTGGATTCCTTCCAAGTCTGTCTGGTGTGTTTTTATTGGAAGATTTCTTTGATTATAACAGATGCATCTGAACAAGCTATGCCTTGTGATTTGTATTTATCCGGCTCTGCAATAGTTCTTAGAGGAGAGGCTGGAATATCCCACATTTGCCTGCTTGTAGTGCTGTTAATCTTGTCTTGGAAACATCATCTTGGCCACTTGCTCTACAGGATGTGGCTCTTAATGGATTTCTACTCTGATCAAAGTAATTCCTGTCTTGCCTTTCTGAAAAGGCATCAATGTAAGCCTGAAGCTTCTGTTGGGATCTGCAAATGCTTAACTCAAGCATTCAGCTTTATCTGTGACCTTGCTTCCTTTGCAGGTACTTGACTCACAAACAGCATTGGTTAATCGGAGCTGGATTAGTCAAATACCTGTCCCTGACAAGGAATTTAGTGGATTGAGATAGCTTCCTAACTGTAACTCTATATATCAACACCACAGATTCTGTGAAGGGCAGAGGGAAGCTGTGCCTGAGGATCTGACACAGTGTGGTTAAACACTGTCCATATGGGTTTTGGCTCTGGTCAGCAGTTAGAGCATGAAAGAATTTTTTGTTGTTTGTTTTAAGCTCAGCTCAGAACTTGTATTCTAACATCTAATTACAAGGGAGGACTTGAGGATTCATGGGTGATGAGTCAGTTCAGTTTTAAAATCTTTGAAGATGCATTTGGTTGGAAAGTGTGTTAAATCTGAGCTGTGCAGGCTCTGCATTCCACAGAGGCAGAAGGTTTCCTTTTGAACATGAGTGGGAAGATGCTATCATCAGTCAGTCAGGGTGCAGTGTTGAAATTTAAATGGATGATGTCTGTCTTTAAATATGAACTACAAACAAAAAAGAGGCTTAGGTTTTCTGTTGGTCCAAGAAATACCAAATCAAAGTTCCTTTTTTCTTTGTGTGTAAGTATTGTGGACCCAGCTGAAAAGTCACAGCAAACCCAAACTTAATTGGGAGGTTTAGTGCTTTCACTTTTTGATGATCTGGGTATCAATCTCTGCTCTCTTGCAACCTTAGGGAAAAGAGGGGAACTAGAAGAGTGAAGGAGGAAAAAAAGGTAAAATTGTTTTAGCATCTGTTTTATGTACATTTGTTTACACACTTTTATCTTTCTTCTGTAGAGTAAAGCTGAAGCACTTTGAAAAATTTCAGGACACCACAGAAGCACTCGCTGGTAAGTGAGTTAACCCCATTCTTACAAAAAAACCCAAATCCCTGTCATGCACTAGTTCACTCATTACTTACCTCTGTCCCTGCTGTGTTTCTTTGCTTAGTTTTTAAATTACAGGTTTTTCAAAGTAAATTGTTTTTGATGGCTTATGAGGTCACCCCTTTGGTCTCTAGTGCAGTTGAGATGTAATAAAGTCTAGATTTTTCCTACTGTGTGTATTTCCCAAGCAGCTCATAAGTGGGGGCACCATGTAAGTTTTGCCTGATACCTGTAGCCTGTTGTCAATGATGGATTCTTGTTGAAGCTGAGTACAACTGATGTGAGTCAACATTTCGTCACTACCACTGAGACAACAGATGGGTATTGGAGAACGTTCATTATTGCAGTCACCCATGGTTTATGGACACATATTATGATACCTGTGTTTTTCAGCCTAAAAAAAGCCTGTCTTGTACCTGAGTTCAGGAGTTTAAACAAAATGGAAAGCCTTATATTTAGTAATTTTTACAGATTTTACACTTAAAGACTTGATGCTGTGGACTAGTTTGAACAAAAGTGATAGAAGTTCTGGGTAATAATTCAGACATAGGGTGACAATTACTGCTGAATATACTGTATGACAGCAATAGATGGATGTTCCGGGTTGCATTTACAACTAAAGAATGGTTCTTTATATTCTGATATGGTAGGGCTAGCCTATAAAGGAAGCTAAGGAAACAAAAACTGAGATGCTGCCATTGTACATGAGGTGCAAGTAAAAGAACTGAAATTAAAGCTCCTCTCCATGGCATATTTTTTGGATTATGTTGCTTTTGCATAGGTTTGGATTCAGATCATGAATAGTTAGGCTGATTTTAAAAAAGCAAAAAAAAAGGTGGAAAATTATCTCCATTTTAGAAAGGCTGAGAGGAAACTCAGCAAAGCAGTTAGATTTTACTCTTACATGTCATTAAGGTTCTGGAAACCAAAAATCACTGGCCTCTGCTCTATTTGGTGTGATGAAGATGTTGCATCAGTCACAGAAGTTCAGTGGAGCACAGAGCTGACCGTCAGACAGATTGTATAAGTGCCTGCTTAAAATATGTTGTGTGGGATTGTAAAGCTTTTACAAATCTATTCATATTTGAGAGTGAAGAATGTCCTTTTAAAATTCTTCTGTCTGCATGCTATATTAAAAGGGTCTGTGCCTGACTGCCCAGTCAGTGTGTTTGGCATCATTCCTTTTTGGGCTTTAGATGTTACATTATCATCACCAGAGGATGCAAATAAGCCATTACTCAATTTAGGATATCGTGGTTGCTGCCTAAGGGACCTGGAAAATGATTGGTTAATTAAATGATACACAAAATGTTCCCATATAACCCTGCCTTTGGAAATGTTAAACATGCATCTAAAGCATATGGCATACTGTTTGTGGAGATCTTTAAAAAAAATTGGCAAAAATAGAACTGAAACCATATGGAGAAAGGAGAGGCAACTGAGAGAAAAGTTTTTGATTTAGGCCTCCAAAGGAACAAGTATATAATTTTCTTCTATTTTGATTTTAGCTATTGCATGGCAAAGTAGCATTGCAGCTCAGACTAGAGCTACTGTGGGCAGTTAAAATAAATGTACAAAGCTAGGAGTACTATTTTGACAGGTTTTAGGAGAGGAAAGAAACTGCATCTTTGGTCTTTTTGTTTTATACAGCATCCACAGCTCTTGTAGAAGGCAAGCTCAGCAAGAACTTGAAGAAAATTCTCAAGAAGATTGTGGCAAAAGATGCCCATGAGCAGTTGGCCGTAGCAGATGCCAAACTTGGAGGTGTCATAAAGGTGATAGCTGATTTTGCCATTCTTCCTTTTGCCTCATGCTGCTGAAACATTATTGTCAGATTCCAGAGATTTTGCAGTTCCTAGCAATGGATTGTGCTGCCAGTGCTGTGCTTGCAGCACGGACAATATCTAATCCTAATGTTTATACTGCATGCATGCAAGGAGGTGTTGTCTTGAGTACACAGGGTTTAAGTGGTAAAGTGAATAATACCAAGGACTTTGAACTAATTATTTGGTTTTGTTCTCTGAAAATTACCCAAGGCCCCCAACCCTCTACCTCTGAATTTTCTGTCTGTGGATGAACTGTTTCTAGTAAACTGCAAAATCTTGACTCTTAAATTGAATCTTCTACATAGCAGATACATATTATAAATCTCTTCATAATGGAATTGTTTCAATGTGTGGAACTGGTGGTGTCACTACCTTTAGCGTCAAAGGCATTGAAACTGTTGTGTGATCATGAGATGGCAGTGGGAAAACCAGTCATAAATGATATAAGGCTGCTGGAAGGAGGGCTTTAGAGGAATGTCATGTGTTGCCTGACTTTGGGTCATTGCTTTCCAACCTGCAGGACAAGCTGAATTTGAGTTGTATACACAGCCCAATGGTTACAGAGTTGATGAGAGGAATTCGCTCCCAGATTGAAGGGCTTATAACAGGCCTCCCTTCTCGGGAGATGGCAGCCATGTGTCTGGGGCTGGCACACAGGTGAGTTCCTAGAACAGCTCTGTGTCATCCCATGTCTGCCCCACTCCTGTGTCCTTGGCTATGCTGTGCTGCTTGAAGTGTCTCTGAGTATGTGACATGGTCTCATCAAGACACATTCGTATCGGAAATCTTGTTTTATAAAGAAAGGGCTTTCCAGTTTGCACCCACCCTTTAGGGAAAGGCTTCATCTGCACCTGAAGTTGAAAGCTTTCCTTTGCATTTAATGTACTTCAGGATTTCGTTTGGAATGTCTCTGTAGGAGTCAAGTGGGTAATTTAAAACTCCATTGCCACTAGGAGACAAGGTGAAGATCATGATTTGCTGATTTATGCCAGAATAAATACCCAGATAATAGATAATTATGTAAAAATGTTAAAGGCAGAGTTGTCTTTCCACCTTGCTATCGCTGCCTTTTAGGTTTAGTGGAGTAGTAGTTAAGGATCAACATGAGATCAAACATCCATTCATGAGTAACTTTTTAATTCATGTTCTGATATGAGTTTGTCCTGTATGAGCCATTGGCAAGTTAGAGAAATGCTTTGCTGTAGCTAATTTCTTGAAAATAGATGTGTGTTTGTTTAGAAAATGGGCATTAATATTGAAGGAGGACTTTAGAGATGCAAATCTTCATTGATATCAAGTGTCTTTGTAAACATACATTAAAGCCAGATGGTAATGGGCTTTGTCAGACAGTGAGAATCTGTTCTAGGAAGTGTCTTGTTGCTTCACATTAGCATTGCTGATATTGGCTGCTGGGTAGGTGCAGTTTTGTGGATTGCCTTCAGCTGCTGCAGAACTGGAAGTGCTGTTGACAAATACTTTTTGTGGGGAACCATGCAGAAAGAAACCAGCAGCCAATTTCCTGCCACAGCACTCATGTTCAGTCTGCTGCATGTGGTACAAATAGCCGTAACTTTCCCTTTCACCCTGGTCGCAGGGTATGTGTGTGTACACATGTCAGAGCTGTTGTGAAACTTGTGTCAGTGTGGCTTCTGGCCACAGCTGAGAGCAGTCAGTGGCATAAAACTGAGCTGTGTTGAATGAATGTATTCATGTAAAATAGGACCAGGTGGGGCATACTCTGCAACAGGAGCTCAGGATGCTGATGAAACTGTATTTCTGTCTCCTCAGCCTTTCCCGATACAAGTTGAAATTCAGCCCAGACAAAGTAGATACCATGATTATCCAGGCAATTTGTAAGTATATTTAGAGCTTAAATTATTAATGGATTTGGCTTAGGATAGCTGACTTCTTTACATTGGTTACAGAAAAGTATTGCTGTCCATTTCCTCTGAGTATGTCTTGGTAAATTGGGCACTGACGTTCAGCAAGGCATAAGGTGTGTTTTCTTAATAGGGTTTTCCACAAGCAGGAACATTTGCAGGATGATGCAGTAGACTGCCACTTTCTCTTAGCATAGAAATCAGCTGAAATACAGACAGTCCTCTAAGGGCTTCCCTTCCCAACATGCTTCCCTTCTGAGTGGTGCTGGGAGAATGGGCCCCACAGGAAGGCATTTTGTGACCCATTGTTTTGGTGGTACCTTGCTTAGAGGGTATTGTAGAAGTAGACTCTTGTGTTAGGCATGTAAAACATGCTGCAGTGTGTAATGCTGCATTTCACAGACTGAAATTGTTCCTCGTTTTTCCTTGAAGACAGCCACATCATAATTGGCACGCTTGCTGTGAAGCAGTGGTGAGGAATCCTGTTTGGAATATTATTCCCAGACTGTTGTCAATGATGAAACATATAGTTAAACTGAAATTAATGATTTGATTCAGTTCCTTCGTCACTACCACTGAGACAACAGATGGGAATGTTGGTATTGCATTAGCAGGAAATATTTTAGCCCCAGGGCTCTCTAGCAATATATACTGTGCATGCTACGCTCTCAAATTCTAAATCTGATTTTTGGTCATATCTGGTAAGTGGTGAGCCTGTTGGTTTTGCATTGAGTATATTTATATAATAAAGGCAACTAAAGGGTTTAATACAATCTTTTAAATCAAGTAATTGAATAAAAAAATCAGTTTGTAACCATTAAAACATTTTTTCCTTGAAGTTAATCGGTGGCTACATTTTACATCAGCCTTGTGTGTAGCACCTTGGCTGACTGGGGGGAAGAATTGGTTGCTGTTCCCCTTCCAGGAGAATGTTCTTTGCAACTGTTAAAGGAATCCGTCCAAGACAATTCCAGTGATGAAATTTTCAGGCCACGCTTGTGGGAATGCTGACAGTTCTATAATATTGTGCCTGGGATTATGCATTTCTCTGAAAAGTGAAGACTTCTAGTGTACTGCAGTTTGTTTTATTCTAGTCTTTATAGGATAAAATACCTCAGTTAATCTCCCTTTACACTATTTAAGTTTGTTGATTTGAGAGTTTTCCGTTTTTAGATTACCTTTTTAGATAAAAGTAATCCATTCTTCTTTCTCTTAGCACTTCTTGATGACTTGGACAAGGAACTGAACAACTACATCATGCGCTGTAGGGAATGGTACGGTTGGCACTTCCCTGAGCTGGGCAAAATCATCACAGATAACCTAACCTATTGTAAATGTGTGCGGAAAGTTGGTGAGTAGTAAGGAAGCGTGAGCCTGCAGTTTGTTGCATGGCAGTATGCAGTGCACCAGTGGCACTGGCTTGCAGACCAACTCACTCTCTCATCCAGTTAGTCATGACACTGTGCAGTCCTGCCTTCAGCAGCAGTGTAAACAGGGCCAGTAGAAAAGCAGTGTATGTTTGCATCTGTGTGTTGCTGCAAGCTTTGGAAGCTTAAGAGAAAGTTAATACCACATCACCAGGCAGTCCTTCAGGGGCCACCTGCATATCTTCTTA